TACATTTAATGCCAATTGGAAGCCCTTTTGGACTTTTTGCAGGAGACAGAAATGAAATTGTGATCTATGGATTTGATTATTACTTAAATCAATAGATTATACAAAATATGTATGTTAAGATGTAGTTTTAGAGTAAGAGGCTATTATGTGATTTACAGTTGCAAGAAAAAGTATGTGAACCTTTTGGAATTTCATGGTGTTCTGCATTAATTTGTCATAATTATGTCACTTATTGAGGAAGATGATACCTGGAGAACTTTCCTTCTCCAGATACATTCAAAAGAGAGACTATACAAAGATTTGTCAGGGATGCTCTAATTTGAATTCCTGCACTAATGAGGGGTAGAATTCAGCTTAAATAGCTCCTTCCAAATTTATGATCCTTTATTTCTCTAGAACTAGTGAAAGAGATGAAAAGCATGCTGGGAAATTTAGAACACTATGATATCATACCATCCTTCTGAGTTTGTCTGACAGTCTGACAGATTACTAGGAATCTGTCCCTATGCAAGCATAACAATACAATTTCCCCCAACACTAGGGCCTCTTGGAGTTTTATAACACAGGTAGATTATTCTACATCAATTGCTGGATACGTTAATCTCTCATCTGTGTACCCAGCATCCCCTGTAATCAGGCAGTGGCGCATCACAAAAGTATGTGTAGTGCAGGCAAATCAGCTTCTTACTTGATCCTCTGCCACATATTGTTACCATTCTGCTCTTGCTCTGAATGTGTCTGGTTTCAACACCAATAAACCCAAACCTCTCATGCACTCTCCATATCGTCAGAGGAAAACAATGTGAAAGAAACTTGGCTTTCCTTCTCTAAATTGCTGTCCTCCACAAGTATTGAAACTGTAGTGCCACAATTCCTCATAGAAATTCTGAAGGTTTGAGTCCCAATATACATGGAAGCTGCCTCATCTTTCCAAAGGAAGAAGCACTCAGTCACATTATGTTAAATGGGGGAGGGAGAGAGTCAATATACATACCATGCTGGTATCGTCCAGTTCTGTTGAATATTCCATGTAGGGTAAAATATCTACATCTTCTTTGGCTACAGGTTCCAAGACATTTAAAGTATCAGCACTTCGGTCTTCATCTGCCTCCTAATCGAGAAGTACCACAATACAAGAGAAGTAATAATATTGTTAAATATTCAAAGCCAAGAATAATATCAATTAATCATACATATTAATCTGAGAGGGGAAAACAGTCCTCTTAGAACCAGCTCCCTCCGTCCCACCACCCAAACTTCAGTTCTGTCAGAATTACAACTCTGAGAATCCTTAACTTTGCTGGTTGAAAGCCACAGTCCACCATCTCTGGATGCCAGTTTGAGATTATAACACTTTTCCTAACCTGAACTCCATTCACATGTCTGAACTTCAAGACTTAAAATGACTTGTTGGCTGAGAAATTCTGGAAGGTTGTTCTATTGGTAAAAGTATATATGCATGCAAGATATAAATGGAAATAATATGATTTTATTTTATTACTCTTCAACTGTTTATAAAAGCTATACGTTTTATATTGTTTATTAACTGAATTATTGTTTTGTTAAGTATTGGATATAAAGGGCTTATTTTTTTCTACTAATTGTTTACATACTTTGTCTGCTAAAGGATAGTATTTCTAAAGCAATAACCATTATGAGCTTCTTCTCTGAATGAGAAGCGGTATATAAGCAACCTGAAAGAAAATAATGACTTCTGAAGTAATTCAAGACTGTGTGTGGTAGAAGCAAATCTGCAGTCTATTTAGAAAAATGGCTACTTTATTACTTTGCAAGCAAACAGTTAGGAACAAAACATTCCTAAAGTTCAGAGGAAAAGTGCTTTCTCATTAAAAAAGCAGAATACAATATCTCACTTGTTGATCAGATCATTCAGAACAATGTATCATCACATTGTCATTAAAAGCTGAATATCTCCTAGCAGTGACTTTGGCCTAGTGGGAGTTGATTCATCACCACTGAGCTCAGGGCTTTAATTTTTTTTATTATTATTATATTGTCTTTCCAATTGATTACATTTTTCTCTGCTGTCATATTTTCCAAACTCACAAAAGAGGAACTCTTACTTTTCTTGTGCTTGGCATTCACCACAGAGACATACTATTCTCTCTTAGCCTTTATTCTTTCTAGTTTGCGTCACTCCCCTGTTCATACCTTAACTACTGAAGTTTCATTTTGTTCATTAGGTGTTCCTGATATATAGCATCCTGCCACTTCCTGAAAATTTTTATTGTCTTCTGGCAGTACTGGTTAACAGGATTGCCATCCATGCACCACTATGCCAGAGTTTTACTGATTCCTGGTGAAGCATCAAGTCCAACAAACCAAGGTTTAACCACTAGTCACTTGTATTTTAATGAATCTACCCATTAATATTCTAGTGTACTGACCATTTTTACCTATGGTCTATTTTTTGTTGAAATTAAGATAATTTAGGTTATCCATACCGTTGTCTTCCCAATCTGTTGGACTTTAACTTCCATAATTCAGCACTAGCGTGGAAAAAAATGAGGAAGGATGGTTTGAAGATGAACATACATACCCTTTTTTCAATTGCCACGAAGCTTGTAAATTGGGTCACAATGGAGTTTTTCAGGCTGAGCTCAATGATGAAGGACTTCAGTTGTTGTTTCTTCATCTAAATAGTTAAGGCCCAGGCAAATGTTAAAGAGTCTACTTCCCTGCAGGGATAAGCAACCTGATATCTACCAGATGTTTTGGACTACAGATCTCATAAGCTCAGACACCATAGCCAATGGCCAACATTTATAGGAGTTCCAGGAATTATTCTCCAAAAAATCTAAAGGGCACCCTGTTACTGCTGTATTTATAATTGTTACCAGTGATATACATCTGGCCCAGTGGAGTATCTCACCTGGACTTCTACCATGGCAATAACTTCTACACAATGCTTTATTCCCTGAACTGGCAGATCTTCAACATTTTATGTATAGTTTATAATATACATTTTCAAGCATTTTTTTTAAATTACCTCATAATGTCATTACTATTTTATATATACCATGTATTTTGTTCATTAAAACATAATATTATAAAATAAAACATAGGATCACATTCTTAATATGTTATTAAGATACCATAAAATGTTAGGACCCACAAAAAGAAAACTGTCATTATCAGTTATAACATTAGGAAGGAAGTGGAAGTATAAGTTAAGGCTGGATTATTACATAAGGTTTTGGTTTAGCACAACATGTGAATCCTACAATTAAGAGCTACCATTAAATGCACAAAGCAGTTATTTCATGGATGTTTCAGACTAGAGAGTAAACTGAGAGCCAATGTTGTGTAGTAGTTAAAGTATTGGACTAGGAATGGGGACATGCATGTCCTAATCCACCCTCAGCCATGGAAACTCACTGGGTGGCCTTGGGCCATCAGTTTCTTTCAGCCCTACCTACAAATTGCTGTTGATAAAAATAGGAGAAAGTAGAAATATGTACACTGCCTTAAGTTCCTCTACAAAAGACATGATATAATCCAAATAAATCTAGACTTCATTTGCCATCTAGAGCACTCACTTTATTGTATCTAAAATTTACAGTTCTTGGAGCAGCTGGCCATCCTATCAGCAATGTTCTGTGGTGACAGAAAGGGAATATCAAGTGCATTTCCCCCCAATCCACACAATTACCCTTCTGCCACCTTGTGAATGTCTTCAACTTGCTGTTGAGTATATGCCTTGAGTAAGGAAAGTTAAATAGTACTCAAAAACCAACATTACAGTCAGCAATCTGCATCTCTTCTTTCCTCTTGCCATACTTGTTTCCAGAGTGAAGAAACTGGCCACTGTATAGAGGAGTTACCCCTCAGAGTGACTGGGAAGAACAAGAGATGCTGGCACAATAGCACCCCTCTGCAGACAGGAAGAGGAAGTGTTCTGAAGAGCCAGAAAATGGAACCAACTCTCCCACTGTACAGCTCCAGAGAAAACTCTGTAACTGTCTTCCCAGTATTTTCTCTGGAGGAGCAGCTAAACCAGACATTAAAACAGTTCAGCTAGAAAATATGTCCATAAATCTCATAGCATGTTAGGACACAGGGATACCGAGCCAGTCTCAGATCATCACAGCCACTGTGTGGGGAAGGAGCCTCAGGTAGCACTGTGCATCTTGTTCCAAACTGATTCTATTTATTAATTTAGCAAATTTATATAGCCACCCATCTCACAATATGTGACTCTGGGCAGCTTACAAACATAATAACAATTAAAATCATATGACAATTCAGGAAACAAACATAAATAAAAATAAAAACATGAAAAACCCCAAGCTTGCAGGAGAACAACAATCATTTAACTTAATTCAATAAGAGAATCATAATCCTATAGCAATTATTTAATCTGAAACTACCCTAAGAACATAAGAAAAACCCAAAGCTTGTCTAGTCCAGCATCCAGTTTTTTTCAATGAGCAACCAAATGTCTCTGAGAAGGTTAGATAAACAGAAACTGGATGCAATCTGTATCATGCAATTTTGTAGACAGCAGTCATAACTAAAATGGTTAATAAATACAGGGTTACACGTTTTTTATTTTCTTGGCTACATACCTCATGTTCTGTTTCATTCTCATCAAGCATTCCTTGTTCATAATCTCTGATAAAGGCTCTTGCTGCAAGTTTGTGGAGCATCTGTACCAGGGACAAGAGAAGACATCCTGATCAGTAATATTAAAACAATTATTCAATAGTTTGGCCTGATCAAAAGTGTATTGAGCAGCTTCCCTCTGAGTGTAAACAGTGTATTGGAAAAGAATTATTCTCCCTATATCATCAGAGAAAAAAAGAAACTCACCTCAGCTGATCATGAATGGACATCTCTACTTCTAATATTAAAAATCTGTCTTTTGACATTATACACTGGTTGGCCTAAGGACCCAACATTTCAGGAAGATAGATTTTATTAAATAACTACAACCATTCAACAATTTAATGGGTTAGGATGGGAAATGGAGGAGAAGCTTTGCAATGCCAGGTCACAGTTTCCTAAAATTAGGCAGGGCTTTGGATTCTAAGACAAAAAGCACTTCAGAATGCTCAGAGACACAAATGTAACCCCTGTTTGCAACTCCTTAAAATAAACATGATTCTACTAACAAAAGATGCAGCTGCTTTAAGGAAGGGCAGACCAAGGCTTCATTTGTGCCGAGAAATGTCTCTGTATTCAAAACATAGTCTGCCTCTGGACTGGCAACAGCTGTGACACAATTGGTTCTGTCACTGCCTTCCTCATTTCTTGGCCACATACAGTTTCCAAAGCTTTTATCCCCAGTTAGGGTCAAAGACAGGGGGAGAATGACAGGCATAATGGTCTTCATAGATCCTATGTAGCTATTTCTCCAGTTGCATCTAACCATGACATTGCCTTCATCTCATCCTCAATCCATCTGTGAGACAGCCTGAAATTGTCCTTCGCCGAAAGATGGCTAGATCATGGCTAGACGCACTCTCAGGGGAGCACAGGTTTAGTGTACCTTCCTTCCTGTAGACAGTAAGGAAGATGACCAGCATATCTCCATCAAGGTCATCTTTCTTACTCTTTAAACTTCCCAAGTCTACTGAAGAGCTCTTCAGTAGGCTTGCAGAGTTGGAAAGTAGATTCACCCTCTCCACACAAAGGCTCCTGTAAGCACCTGGGGTCATAGCAGCCAGACTCAATATCTGGCTTGGAACTAGAATTTCCTTAAGAATAAAAGGATTACCGAGGAAAAAGTCCCTACTTCTAAATAATGCTGTTGGATGGAAATAATCTAGCTGTTGGAACAAAAATCATTCAACTGAGAGCAGCCCAGTGCTGGAGCCATATCTGATCTCAGCCAATCTTCTTTGTTTATATTTCCAGATGACCAAACTCTGTTTATAATTTACAGCTTCAGCTGACTTATTCCTCTTAACCCAATCTTTTACTATCATCTTTGGCTCTAAGTTCATCCCACATCTGCTTTTTCCTGCTTGTGCTGTAAGACAGGAGATGGAGAATTCTTCAATAGGTAGAGCAACATTCACAATGAGTTGGTGTTCATTGTGATGCATAAAGTACCTTATGCATGCTGCCTTGCAAGGATGTCCCACTATGTCCAGTGGGGTTTACCCTTTTGAATGTGGTTTTATGACTGCATTCTTAACTAGACAAGTATCCATAAAAAGAAGGTAGGCTCCTAAGTGGTCCACTTTCAAATATTGATTATGTCAAGAACATGAAGCAGGTTTATAGTTTGAGCAATCAATGCCTAACTCACAGTTCCCGTGGTCTTCTGCAGTTCAGTTGTAGATACCAGCGCACGCAATTCCTGCCTATCTACTAGTGCATTTAAAATGGCCTGAAAGAGAAAAAAACAGAATATTCTTCTGAATTTAATTGTTAAAAAAGTTAAGAATGGTGCAATAGCATGCTTATCTACTACTTCAGCTTTCATGTAAAGTCAATTGCTTCTATTTGCAGTATGAGCTCCATGCAACATTTATTAAAATTATTTTTAGATATCTCTTCAAGATTACAGACATGGGGATGCTAATACAGACGAATCTGCCAGTAGAATGGGACATTTGTTGTTGACTTAATTAAGACAATACACCAACAATTTTTTTTTAAAAAACGTAATTCTAGTGCAATAGAATGGCTGCTTAATTTACCAAGGTTTGACATTGTCAGGCAAGCTAGAATATGAAACATGGTTAGTATGGAATTTCACACCATGCTTTGTATTAACTATGACTTGATCTAATGTCTGGTTTTAAAAACCACATTATATATACTGCTGTCTATATCCTTGTAGAGTAAACTAGAGAACAAAAAATGAAAGCAGCTGAAATGTGGAAGTTCAAAGCTATGTTAAACCTGATACATTCTGAAGCTCAAACCATGGACTGGCATGAGTATGAATTACATGGTTATGGTGGCAAGTGGAAGAGTTTATTCACGTTGAGCATTCCACTAGGAAAGATATTTCCCAGTTTTCCATTGCTTCAACCAAGCTGAGACAGCACTAAGAACCCAACAAATATTATAATAATTCTTTCTTACTGAATACCTGGAAATCACCTGTTCATAGTATGTTATGCCATTGCAATTTTCTTCAAATGTCATACACTCAGATTTATGTCACCTAACCACTTCTTCAATGGCTTCAGCCTCATCACTGTTACATACATCAGGTTGCCAGCTGAGAGGCATAGCTTATTCTTATTCCAGTTTATCCCCATTGTGCCATGATAACTTTTATCCATTGGTTCAGGGAGTATAAAGCACAAAATCCAGTATGAAATATAGTAAGTCCTGGTTTACTTAACCATGGATTACTGAGGATGCCATAAATAGATGGTTCAAAATATGAATCAAACCCAAGTATGTCCCCTCGATGCTTAACATCCACTCCACTTAACAGTGGAAATCTATTGGCCTTGTCCATATCCTCAATGGCATATCTTTAGATAAAGATGGGCTTCTTGATTTGGAATAGGAACTATGCCAGCCTCATCTTTGTTTTTGGGCAAAGTTGGAAATTGCAGAGATCCAAAAGATTTCTGAGAAATGTTTTAACTGCAATTATATGGTTTACTATGCAATCAACCTAATTTGTTCACAAAATTTTAAGAAGTGTGAATTCCTTATTCTCCTCCGCTCTGCATTGTTGAGACCACAGCTGGAGTACTGGCATATTTTAAGAAAGATATTGACAGGTTAGAACAGGTTCAGAGGAAGGCTACAAATGCAATATATAAATTTGAGGATATGTCCTATGAGGACAGGCTGAAGGAACTTAGGATGTTGGGTCTAAAGAAAAGAAGAATGAGGGGAGTATAAAAGGGTGCCATAGAGGAGATGATCAGGAACAATTTTCTGTTGCCACAGAAACTAGGACCAGAAATAACAGGTATAAGTTGCAGCTACCTAGATGTTTTTTAAATATAAAGTAAAACTTCCTGATGGTAAGATCTGTACAATAGTGGACAGCTACCTCTTGAGGATGGTTTAAATTGGTTTTCTTCCATATTGCAGAAGATTGGACTAGATGATCCTTATGGCCCCTTCCAACTCATCATTCTATGGGAGTGGAGGTCCAGAAAGTGTTATATGTATAACCTTTGTAACTTTCCTGTTTTCCTATCTCTGTTTCTATTGCTTTTCTTAGAAAACCCTTTCTTAGAAAAACCTCCCATCTCATCAAGGTGATTCTAGGCAGCGTACAAAAATTAAAACCAAAAGAAAGCAATAACGAATGTATAAAACAACATACAAATACCATAATATATGACATGCCTGGGGATGAAAAAAATATTTCTACTACTATCACGGAACCATAACTAAACTAAACTAAACTAAACTAAACTAAACTAAACTAAACTAAACTAAACTAAACTAAACTAAACTAAACTAAACTAAACCAAACCAGTGGGGCTTGCTTAACCTCCCAGCCCAAATGCCTATAGGAACATCCAGGTTTTTAATGCTGTTTGAAAAGCCAACAGTTTGGGGTCATCTGAATCTCTAGGGGGACATCATTCCATAGGGCAAGTGTGGCAACAGAGATGGCATGACTCCTAGACCTCACAAGGTGACAATAACAGATGAGGTCTGCAGGATGCCAACATGCCATTTCTGGTGGGGCAAGCAGAGACAAACTATCACACAGATGGAAGGAAACACAAAAATTAAATGCAGAATGGCTTTCTATTTCCATTCTATGAGTTATGAGTTATTCTGGAAGACCTCCCCACCCTGGCTATCTCTGGAGAAACCACGTACAGCATCCCAAAGGGCATGTCTACTTGAGTATTGATCAACCCTTTAAATTCCCATATAGTTACTATCAAAGATCCAAGAGAGAGAGAGTCAGCAGGATATACTTACTATCTGATTGGTTCTTTTTCTTGAAAAGTCCATATGGATTTAAATTTATCATATGAATTATTCATTCATATGAAAGAGATGCTGGCAGTATATGAGTTTTGAAACTGAGGAGAGAAGAAGCTTCTTTGGACAGCTTATTACCTGTGTGCAATTGAGGATAAATCCATAGACTAGAAGACGCTCGTGGTTAAATAGAGACTGTATCTGAGCAGGAGCATATGTAAGTTCAGGTTTTTCTATATCATAATTCTGCCATTCAATGGAAATAGAACTGCACCGTGGAGAAAACATTCTAGTTGCCTGGCTTTCCATCTGCACAGACATGGAAACAAAAAATTAGTATTTGTTCCTTTTGTTAAATTATTTTACATAGAGTAATAAAAACACAACAGAATAGAACAAGTGTGAAGAAATGCTATTTTATAGGGTATTTCATCAAGTGGTTTAACCACATCCATCTTTTTTTAAGTGGATTAGACAAAAGTCTTGAACTTGGGAAACTGAATTGTAATAAATGCAAAGGACTAAAATTATTTTTTCCAAATCTAACAGATCAGTTACTACTAATGCTCAGGCATACTGCTCTTTCGTACTGCTAATATCAAATATGATTAACACATTTGTAAGAACTTAATTTATATTTATATTTATACACACACACACATAGTAAGCCACTAACAATAGGGCATTTCATACAAGGATCCTGTACCAGTTTGAATCCAACTCTATAGTTCTGTGTTCTCAGACCATCTCATCTATGCTTAGCAGCTATCTACCCAATTCATCTGTGATGCAACAAAAACTGAAAAACAGTGATCTCTTGGTATTCAGTGGCAAAGCACCACAAGCTGGAAATGGGGCTTCCTTGCCTCAGCTAACCTGTGAGTTCCTGAGCTTGAGTAGATTTACCATTTGTGTTGAAAGATCTTTAAAGGGGGAAGCCCCCCATCAAAGTAACAGCTCTATTTGTTTTGTTCCTATCTTGCTTCCTTGCTTTCTTAACATATTAACATTTTTTTTCTTTTCCTACCCGCCCCCCCACCACACACAGCATCTTGCTCCTGATGCCTGTCTGCAAGCATTGTTTAGAGGGTAACTCCTCCTCTCGTCCCACTGCAGCAAATACAACACGATTACAGCTACAGGTAATCCTTGCTTAACGACTGCCTGTTTAGTGACCGTTCAAAATGACAACAGTGTTGAAAAAGTAACTTTATGACTGGTCCTTGCACTTACAACCGTTACAATGTCCCTGTGGTCACATGATAGAGATTTGGTTGCTTCGCAACTGTGGTCATTTACCACTGTTGCGGTGTTCCACAGTCACATGATTGCCATTTGTGCGCTTCACAGCCAGCTTCTGACAAACAGACTCAACAGAAAAGTCACAGTCACTGAGGTCTCACTTAGTGACCATGTCACTTAGTGATGGATTTTCCAGTCCCAACTGTGGTCATTAGGTGACTACTACCTGTATTGGGAAAAAACCCTAGTAGCAAAAAATGCCATCCTTTCTCCATCATTGCTAGCAAGAGGTTTTTATTCATCTGCACCCTTTTTTCTGGTAGCTTCAGATAGTGCACATGGGGTCTCCTCTCACCTTATACCCACAACAACTACGTGAGAGAGGCTGGGCTAAACTGCAATGGAGGAATAATGTCTTAATGCTTGCAGTTGCTTTTTTTAATAAGAAATAGTAATTTTCTTTTCAAACAACCATACAAATACACATAACAATGTAGAAATGTAGAATTAGGGTTGCAATTTATTTTATTCCCTTTTTGCACGGAGAGGGATGATACAGTATATTCTTTGTTGCTTCCCAGAGCTATAATATTCTAGATGGGGCATTGCTGACTGGCTGGAAGAAGAAGAACACTTGGCTTATGATGTTTGCCTGTTCTCTGCCTTTCAAGAACAGCAGACAATAAAAGGATAGTAGGTTACCTTCCAAAAAGGATAGTAGGTTGCCTTCAGATTGGTTTGTGAGGGGCTAGGGAAGGGGAACACTGTGGTATGGAAGCACCCTGGAAAGTAACTAATAAATATATTAAGTAATAAAACCTCTTCTCCAGCTGATTTCTGTGCCTATAAAAAATAATACTAAAATATACTTGCCTTTCTCTCCCAGTTATATTTTGATTTCACATCAAAATATTCAAAAGCTCCAGCTCCATATTGCGCTAAAGACCTCAGCATGTGACGATTTGCTGTAGGACTAAGATGATTTGTAAAGATTTACAATTTATAAAAATCTGCAATAGAGAGTCAACCTGATCAAGGAAAAATTAATGTTATGTACAACATATGCTCTGCATAGTTACATTAGTCCACACATCTAATTTACTAGTGTAAGTTGAGCATCCAAGGAGTGGGGAGGGGAAGGCCAGAAGAGGTGACAAGGAGTAACCTGTAATGGTATGTGGGAATGACCTTGGGAGACAGGAGGGCAAGCCACAGACTAACAACTGGCATGTAAAAGGCTTCTCGGCCCCTCAGAAGGAGAGGTGATGTGGGAAATGTTTCAGAAGGGATCCTCCCTTGTTTTCTGGAGAGTAAAAGGAGAGGAGGGGAGAAATACTTTCAGTCTTGCAAGATTCTGTTAATGTAACCTTACAATAAAGATAGAGCTAGTACTCCTGGTTGTGCTTCTTGTCTGGACTACCTCACAGGTCTAAACTCACCAATTTGTTTTATGGTAAAAGGGTGTTTTTGCCTACCTGTTAGATCCCTATTGTTGCCCTATAGCAGTGTTTCTCAACCTCAGCAACTTTAAGATGTGTGAACTTCAATTCCCAGAATTCTGGGAATTGGGGCTGGCTGGGGAATTCTGGAAGTTAAAGTTGCTGAGGTTGAGATACATTGCTCTATAGTTTGCCAAAACTATGTTTTGCAATTCTATCTGGATGTAAGTTTTCACTGAATGCGCACTTACCCCACTGCACATGTGAATATTCTAGTGTGCGTTGCATTTTTCTTCACAGTCTGCAGGGTCAAGCCTTCATTCTGAATATGTCCATCAGATATAAGAATAACGTTGCGCTTGCTTTCAGCAGGGTACAGCAAACTCAGATAGTGCAATGCCTTCCATAAGTGTGAGTCTCCCATTGTAGCTGTAGCTGACTAAAAATTAAAAATAAAAGCTAAATTAAGGCCATCCTCTCCCAATGGTCAAATCAAAAATCCCATACTGTCTTGGAATTTTAGGATTGTAATTTTATGGAACGATAATTCTATCAAGAAGTTTTCAGGCTAAGGATACTGTTTTAGACAACTGGTATTCAAAGGTATCCTGTCTCTAATAGTACACTTACTGTGATAAACTCTTTCAAAGCTGTGGGATCCATTGGAGAACCATCAAGATTGGGAAAAAACTCTACAAAATCTATAGAGGGGCAAAAATAAAATTTTATTAATACATAAAAGATATATCTTTATTAGAAATCAGTTATAATAATTACAGCTGCAAAATTCAGAGCACAATCCTATACATGTGAACTCAGAAGTAAGTTCCATTGATAACATGAAGCTTAGTCCTCAGTAACTGCAGGAAGATCAAATGAAGACTCAAAAAATCTTATGCATGGAAACTGGACAGACCTCTAAAGAATATACTAAAGAGAAACATAATAAAGATGACATGGTTCCACAAAAAAGCCTTACTTGTCCCAAATTTGATAACACTTATTTTTCTTGTCAAATGACATGAGTTTAGAGCGTGTAATGCAATCTCCTTGGCTTGCTGGATTGCTGAACCTGCCATGGAATTGGAGCAATCTAGGCAGATAACAGCTTCACCATGGAGGCTTAAAAGATCAAATGGGTCTTCAAACTCTGGTTGAAATACAAGCATGCAGGCCTAAAAGAAAGGAAATGGGAAAAAATCAACCAAGAGCAGGTCATCTTAAATGAGAGGCAGATGTCAGCCAAGACAGAAGACACACCACAGGTCACAAAACCTGGTATTTGCTGTGGTTCAGAGACAGACAAGTGACCTGTCAGGATTCTGTGTTTGAATGTCATCAATTCCAACATTCTGAACATTTTTCTGAATTAAGGAAGCACTAAGTAGCCTAAATAGACAGTACAAGGAGGGCTGGCACCTTAATGGTATTAGTGGATGCTTTTCCACTTTCTGTGGTATACTAGTTACCTAGGAATTCTTGCAGGTTCCTAGAATTTCTTGGAGATGGCATTGTATCCAAGCTGAACTTATAGATCTTTTTAATCAGTAAAAACCAGTACTATATCCCAGTACTGACACTAGCTTTAAAGGACAGATTTTCTTCAGGGACACAGCAGGCAAAGAAAGGACTTATTCCTCTTTGACCCCACTAATTATCATTCTCTCACACACACTCCTTTCAAACACACACACACAGACACATTTTTAAAATGCAAAGACATACTTAATATCAGGACATTGGGACACTAGGAGTACAATCAAAACCTCATTAGGACAACTCTTGCACTGTCGCCATAGATCGATTGACTTAGATGCTATTGAATGGCTTCCTATAGTGCAAAATGGAAAACGGATTTTGCTATTGTTCAAACAGCCTATCATTCCATCCATGATATTCAAGATGAGACCATATTTAGCAACTTTTCAAATTTTTCCTTCCAGAGTGTTCCGCGAGATAATAGTTAATCCTTTATGTGGTTTTGCTGTTTCCAGACGCTATTCCAACACCAACTGCAACAGAAGCTAACAAGCCTTCCCCCCCTCACAAGACCTTGAAAAAGCAAGGCAGTGGGAGTCAATTTTCTCCTCAACCAGACAGTATGACCAATCCAGCTGAAGCAGACCTTACCTGTGCCTTTGGCTCCCTGCCCAGGAAGGAACAAGATAACACTATTTTTAAACTAGAAAATCTTAAGAAAACCTTACTGGACTCCATTGCTATTGCAGAACCCCTCATTGATTTTGTGTCTCCAACTACTGACCCTAATTACTATCAGCTGGTGGATATAGATCTGGAGGAAAATCGATACCCAAATAACAACTGCTCTAGCCTTTATGAGATGAATGGGGTCTTCCCTGGAGAGCACCAGTCTATGCAAATAACTGAGGAGGCAGTCTTCCCAAGACCACAGACAGATGCTGACCAACGCCTAGTGGATACTAGATCTCCTCCACATGATGGGTTGTCTCCACATTCTGCGGATTCCCCTCACCATATTCCATAAAAATCAGACATGAACACATCTGACTCCCCTGATCCTTCATCTGTTGAGAAATGACTGAATATGTCTCACCATGACCCTCCCTCACCTAGTGTTTCTACCCCACCCCTTACAGGTGTTGTTAAACATTCAGCAATTCACATATTATTGTGGAATCTTGCTGGATGGAAAAACAAACTACATGAGTGTTCTGATTTTCTGTCTAACCATGATTTGATTGCAGTCCAAGAGACCTGGTTAACTGCTGATGATGAGCAGATCTCAATCCCTGGCTTTAAATCCTGGTTCACTCCAGCTTGGAAATTAAAAGGAGGTTTGGCCATTTTGATTACTTAATATCATGTCTAGTTTGGTCCTAAAAGTAGATATTATGTATCACAGTATTTAAATTAAAAAAATAAAAAAATCACCTCACTATCTTCATCTGGATGTTTTTCTACCCACATTCTGGGCAAATATACATCACCAATCAGGATTTCCATTGCAAAGCCACTAGTGTCCAAGAAACTGCCTTCAGTAGTACAAACCACTGCTTTGCAGTCTGTTTTCTAAATGACGGGAATATGCAAGGAAAAAAAAATGCTGTAAGAAAACTTGAATTATTTCAGCCTGATCTTTTTCAGACATATCTGTTCAGCTACAAGCACTACTAAAAGGGTGGGGGAATAAAATCTTGCAAAATAGGATTTTACTACCCTGAAATCTTGTCCTCCATTCTCTCTTCGTACTTCTCCACCCACCTGCTGACCAAAAGGGGATTATTTCCCTTTAGATTTTCATTTCAATTTTTTAAAAATTCTACAAACTCTAGAGCAGGGTTTTTCAAATTGTGTTTTGTTGATGAATTTGATGGGGTTCCATGAGAAACTAAGGGCAAGAAAAAAAATAAGTTCACTCTAACACAGCCAATTTTCTATCACTAGAGCTCTGCATCTTGATCAAAAGTTCTGGGAAGTTTCTGAATAACAGGTTCTACAGCCTGAAGAAGTTTGAAAACCTCTACTCTAGAGTGCCCCACAAGCCTGTTGATACCTTTCTCTTCTGAAAAGGTGATAATAATTTAGCAACAACAGTCACAGTCTAACCTTGGAAATAAAATAAATTATTCTGGCAAGATTGCCTGCTCTAAAATACTGTGCAGGGGTCCCACGCAAGAGTTTATTTTGATGAAATTGTGCAAAGCCTGATTTAGAAACCTTCATCGTTTTTCAAGCTATTGATATTTTAATGTTGCATTAAGCGCTTTGCTTACCTTTATTTTAAGCTGATGTGTCCAACTACTAATGTTATTAATTTTGAAGGGCATTTCAATGGACATTTCTAAACTGAACTCTCTGTCATAAGATAAAGAGAAGCCACATACAGGTTAGGACTCGGCTGAGATATAATACAAACTTAGATAAGTAGGCAGATATCAGGGTTTTGTTTTTTTTAAAGAATCCATTACTGGACCCAGATATAAAGGTGAGCAAGCCACATCATGTGTTCTTTAAGCTTTTGAGGGAAGCTATGGGCTATTAGACTAGAAAGTAGAAACATTACAATAGCAAACCACTTCCATAGCACACCAAGGAAGTTGCATGGATGGTAAAGGACTTTAGGGAAGTTACAGTTCACATGCTCAGGTAAATAATTAAGCAGATTTAAGATATTCCATTCAGAGAAACAGATTTTGGGTAGCATTGAAAGTCAACTATTTGATATTTATTATTATACTTTCAGCAGTAGGGTGTCATTTGGATTTTTTTCCTCAAGAAAAAAATATCTGTCTGTCTGTCTGTCCATCAAAGCCTTCTCAGGCCTATAAATCATATAAGGAATAAATCACTTTCTTACACAGAGGACATTTTTCATAACTGTGAATGCTTCTTGCTTGAACTAATGAAGACATGATTAACTTCCTTGTCTCCACAATGTCTCTTAAACTGGAGAATTTTCTGGGAACACTAGGAGTTTGAGACCAAGGTGCAGCTAGAATTTGTACAAGGCAGCGTACACTGTATTTTGTTTGCCCCAAATATTATTAGGTTATTTTGGGTATGTTGTTATATAATAATCATCACAGCACCAGTCCAAGAGGTTTACAACTCTGTTCATAAGACTTACAATTGTGCAGGAATCATGCAGGGGAGCATCTATATTACTGACAGCTATTCGTGATCCTTACAGGCAATATTACTAAGTGCCAATAAACTAGAACATACTATCTTTATGTATAACTAGAAGGTTTTCCCAAAATTATTTAGACAGCTGCTGGTATGGAACAAGATACTGAAATAGTTGGATCCAGCAGAGATTATTTTACCTGAGTTTTAATCTGTAAATAGGAAAAGTGTGGCAGTTTACCAACTTACCTTTTTGTTTCTGTTTGTCTAATGCAAATTTTCCTTACCGAGTCCTAGTCAAAAGCAAAGATAAAACATTAAGTGATGAGACGTAATACTCTGGAAGATAACACTCATCTTGGCAAGGCAACATTAGTAAAACTTATTCCTTCTTTTATTGATCGCTTTGGATTTTTCAGTACAAGAGAATTACCAGAAGGGTTTTATTCAACCAATGCTTAATAAAGTGAACATTAATTTAGGACTCTTCAAAACCACATTCTACCTGTTAAGCACATTAAGTCCATAACAAAGCGAACTGTTATAAAGATAATTTGCAGTTATAAATGCAAACTATTTTGCTAAGCCCAGTATAGCTCTGACCATATACTCTTGATACTTTATAGCAGTCAGCCATGTTTCCTTCAGCTGTCTTCAAAGAAGAATACAGGAGTTCCTGTGGTGTCTCATTAAACCTGAAGCTGTTGGTAATATTATTAATAAGCAATTTCTTAGTAAAAGCACACTGACCTGCGTGTTTTCATTTAGTGCTTTGTCTTGTTGCCAAGGAGCCACAGCAGCTGGCAAGTGAAAGCAAAGGTTTCCTTTCTCATAACTGAGCTCTGTGATGTAGGAGATCTTGATGAGCACCTTTGTTGAAGGCGGCAAGTTTCCAACAGAAACAGTAAAAATGTCCTATGAAGTAATATTTAAATTGTTTATAAAATTATGGTTTTACAAACAACAGTATATACAGTTTTAACCTAAAAAAAAAGATTACCAGGAATGACTTATGATATATCTTATTTGAGGCCTATGTAGATGTTCAAACTCATGTAGAGAATCAGGGCTGTGGCTTCTAGCCCTTCTTGAGAAACCTACTCTATTATAGTCCTCATCTACCATTTGAATGTTGGCTCTAGTGCTATAAATATGAAATGTATGAAGATGTCCATATAATTGAACATGTATGTTGTAATTCTGATGGCAATCCACATTTGCTTCCAACATATTCAATGTCATTGAATAGATGTCCTTACACAGAGAACTCTACACATACTCAATGTTTACATCATCAATACATTCTTAGAGAACAGACAATCAACATATGGCAAAGGCACATTAACCACATGGCAGACAATGACCAGATACATTGTAGTGCATTTTGGGCTAGTTAAGAACCACAGAGAACAAAGCATAAAGGAATTGACCTCTGTGAAGATGTTTTCCTATGTGATGTGTAAAAAACTGGGTTTCGAAATAAAGTGCCTGTGGCAGTGCCAAATGCTTCTTAAATTCGGATATCGCAAAGCTTATTCTGAGCATGCAAGCTTATTCTTCTAGGAATGGACGTTGAGCAAGTAGACTTCCCAGTAGTATGCAGAGTTTCTTATTCAAGGAAACTGTAGAGAGCCTGAGGAAGGTTTCTCCTGATCTGCTAAGCTGGAAACAGGACAAAGTTTCTACCCATTCCAAAAGCCAGTGCTGCATTGGATCTCATTCTGCTTATCCTTTGGCATAAGCAAAAAGGCAGGAGGAAGAGTTTTTCTTACCCAACTAGGATACAGAAGAGATAAAAGCTGTCTAGATAACTGTTTACTGGGTGGAGGCAGAATGTATACAGTTGTCCTATGATGCCTCTTCCTCCAATCTCTTTGTCTCAATAAGCAGAATTTGGTTCAGGGGCACCAGGGGATTAGACATATATCTAGAAAATGTATGTATGCATATTACTATTTTCAGTTTGAAGACTAGTGTAGTTTCAGAAAATGAGTAGAGTCCAATGTGTGTTGTTGTCATAAATTGTACAATAAATCACTATATATCACCTACAGGTGCATCCTGATCCATCAGATAAGCTCCATCACCTCGACTGATGGCCTCTCTGTATTCTTGATGTGCCTTTTCCTTTTCTTTAACCTATTAACATTGAATATAATATCTATTTATATTTTTAAATTTTATTTATATATCACATATATAAATAAAAGATAGCTGCCCATCTCACACAAAGCAACTATAGGCGTATAAATATATAAAAATAAATAAATAACACTGAATATAATATACAATACTTATCCTGGTTGGAAAGAAAGTAAAAATAAAGTAACATACATCACCATGCCACACTCAGCAATAAGTCTGGGGAAGCAAGATAAGGGAAGTTAGTGGGATAACGTAGATCAGCTTATTAAGTGGTTACTTGCATGTCATAATAAGTTGCTGTTTAGAGGATGATTTCATTCTAATTTATTGGAAACAAAGACACAATAAACTCTTTTAAATCTAATTTAGGTAATTCTATCAGAAATGATGTGCTGCTTAACTCCTAGGTAGAAGAAGGAGACAACCTCAGAATAAAGTCTAGAGCCCCACAACTCAGAATAAAGTCGAGTCCCACAACTCATGTAGCAGCATCTTTCTTATTCTTTTAAACACTTTATAGTCAGGACGCAGATGCTCTTGCCCACTTGCTCAGATGCCCACTGAATTACTTTTATTTTAAAAAATTATTATTCTCTTTTAAAATACAGTGGTACTTATTCTCATATAAGAAATATCACTTATTATAAAGCTGGAAGCTCTGCCATTACTATATCTAGGGTCCAAAATTATCTTGTTTCACCACTGCTGTATTTCCTCTTTAAATACTAGGCTGTTCTTTGCAGGAGTACAGTTCAAGCTATCAAAAATCAATACATCCTAGGAGATCTTTTCCTCTCATTGCTCTTTCAACTAATATCAGGGCCTGGTGGAGTTGGACCATTACCTGGACCACGAGGATGGTCAAAGGACCACCCAAGCCAATACTCTCTATGGCAATTTATCTGCTGCATCTCTAGCAATAGGGAGACCAATATAGGAGACTATATATGAAAGACTGCTGAAGAGAATCAAGCATCAACAAAACCGGTCAATTGCATGCTTTCACCATGGAAAAAACAGATTGCTGGCTTGGAGGATGTTATCACAGTTCTCTTGACAGCCTAGAAAAGCCTTCCCCAACAGGCTGGGAGCAAAGGGGGTTGTATCCAACAAATCCAAGTTGGGAAATATTGGCCTAGAATCATCCTTCTTTCTGCCACTGCATCAGCTTACCTCTCCTATTATATGCTTTCCTTTAATGAACGCTTCAAATCCACATACAGCAGCTGTGTCATCCAAAGGAAAGACATATTTGGCCTCAATGGGATCCCTTGTTTCATTTTCATAGGTCTGAAACACCACAACCTGAAATATAATGCAATATATTTTATGCATTAGTTTGGACAAACACAGTTGTTTTCACCAGAAAGATTTTTATGGGTGGTGCTTCCATCCTAAGATTAACATTTTCAACATGACTGAACACAGTCCAAAGAAAGAGAATACAGAAAAATAGTAAGTCAACTAGTTGTGGTAGAAATGTATATCTCAGAATATGGCTGGATATTATACGAAGGCTAATTCCCTGAATTTTCTTCTCCATTCCTGCTCTTGGCTCAAAAGATAACAGTTCTGATTTTACACTAAATTAAAAACATGGTAGTAAAGGATGCTTGAAGAATTAAAAATACAATTTTTGAAGAATTAAAAATACATTTTTGATAAATTAAAAATACCATTAATCAGGGATGTGTTTACAGTTGTTTTTTAATAATATTTTTATTAAAGTTTAAAAATGCAAAGATAAAAAACTAATACAAACTAAGAAAAATATAAAAAGCAAAAAGAAAGAATGAAAAGGGAAAAGGGAAAAGGAAAAAAAAGGGAGGAGGAAAAAGAAAAAAACATACACACATACACACACACATATATACACACACATCAGCATATGTTTCTTTATATATTCTTTTTTCTTTATATATTTTTCTTTTTCCTCCTCCCCCTTTTTTTCTTCTTTTCCCTTTGCACTTTTTATTCTTTCTTTTTTTCTTTTTATATTTCTCTTAGTTTTAGTTTTTTATCTCTGTATTTTAAAACTTTAATAAAAAATATTATTAAAAAAGGGATATGCTTACACTTATTCAACAAAATAGTCAGCATTCCTAGGAAAAACAAAAAACAAAAAGAATTTTACCTCTGCTACAAAGTCTATTATTCTTCCTTTGATTCGAATATCTTTAAGAGGAATTGGATTTCCAGCTCTGTCCATGAGACCAGCAGAAATATCATTCAATAGATCACGGCTTGGTATTGAATAATCTAAATGAGAGAAGTCAAAGGTAAGCCCAAACTGTAATCAGAGTCTAAGATTAGTGGTCCCTTTACACACCCTGCTCCCTGCCGTTCCTGGACATTTCATCTCTTAGTTTTTCTTACCTTGACAGCAGCCTCCTACAACTGTACTTTCTCCTCCCCTAGTACCCCACCTCCCAATTCCCTTTGCCCTCCTTTCTCCCAAGGACTTCATTGTTTAAATGTGTGTGTGATGCTAAATGTGGGTGCTTTCTGGACTGTGGGGTGTGAATCTTGGGGTGCTCTGAGGGTAGCAACATGGAGATTGGAAGCCACAAATAGCCTACAGACAGCTCACTGCTGCTCTAGTGGGAAAACTCCCTCTGTAAATAGGAAAAAAAAAACATATTCAGAGAAAAGCAAATTTAGAGGCTTCCTATATTCCAATTAATTCTACGTAACTACTTTCCCTATTTTAAAAAATGTAGAAGAAATAAGGTTTCTTCTACAGGTTTTAGAGATGGGCTCAGAGAATATACTCATGATTTTATTTGTGAGGGGGACAAGAGTTAAAATGGATATTTATCATTCAAAGGTCATATCTGGCATATTTCTAGAGTACCAAGCTAGTGTAGATGTATTTTTATCAAAAGTCTCATAAATAAAAAAATCAGTTTCAGAAAATACCAAGGAAACAGACTCATTGTTGCTGTTTGTAATTTCAAATATTATGTCTCACCTTTAGGCTGGTCATGATGCTCAAGAGAAAGCATCTGGTCTTCTAATTCAGTCTGAATTATTGGCTGGAATTCTTTTACTTTGTCATTAACACAAGAAAATTGAACCACATATTTGATCTTCATCTGACTGGTTCTGTACACTACAAATTCGTCATCCTTATTGGAGGAAAGGAAACAGAACATATATTTTAAGAACCTCACTAGAGCAAAAAGATAGATACATGAGCTGATCCTAAAGGCTTATTCACAACTGCAAAAAAGTCAAGTTAGTTAGGGAAAAGTTCAGAATATTGAAATATTACACCAACTTAGCAAACCGTTGCTTTTCTTATGAATAGGACTTTGGTGAACTGCTTCCAAACAAGCAGTTAATTGAAAGTCCACTGGCCACACAGGACCTTCAACAAGGCCCATCCCTTCCCCAAGGCTTATTCTCTCATAGGGGTCTGGTTAGAAATAGCACGTGTTAGAGACAGAGGTTAATTTATAATTGTATAATTTATAACTGCTGTAAAGAAGATTGGAAGCCATTTGTTTATATCTTTCTTTGTATCTTTTTCTTTTTTCTATGTTTCTTCTACCTTTTTTCTTTCTGCACTTTTAGCTTTTTCTTTTTGTTCTCCTTTCTCTTTCTTTATTTTTTGTTCTGTTTTAGTTTGTATTAGTT